AAAAGACAATAACCCTCTCTCCAAACCCAGAGCCAGTTAGATTTATATTGGCATATTCCTTTTTCTTTCCTTAATGGTGTGCTGTTTGGTGCTTTTCTCAAGTGGAAGTACTTTATGTGTATGTGTGCTTGTATGTAAGTACTGCACACTGCATTTAGAGTTTTTTGTACTGTAAACCTCCACAAATGGAAAAAGGTACTGACTGTCCAAGGACTGTAGTTGACTAATCTTAGAAAAATATAATCTCTCTGTACTTATTGATTACCAGGCACCCAGAGGTTTAGCCACTCTGTCCTCCCAAAGGTTTTCCATTATCCAGTCTATACTCGACTCAACAGACCAACCTGGAGGGAAGTTTGAATAAATCTTTGTACTTATAACATCCTCTTCACCAGTCGCATCTACACACAGTCTGTGTTTACTCACAAGAAAAACATTTCACTTACTTAAAAATAAACTTTAAACAGAGACATTCATCAAAGTCCCTGAGATATTTTGACCAGGCTGCCTTAAGATAAATACATTTTTGTGTTTTCTTTCACTATTCCTTTGCTTCCACCACAAAGGGAATATATTTAGAGAAATATTTTAGAATCAACCACATTCAGTGATGGTTACTCATGTTTTTGTGTACCTTTCCCTTTATGGGCTGCTTCTCTGGGAAAGAAATATTAAGCAAAGATCATTCTGTATTACATTTAAATTGATATCTTTTTATTAATTCAAACAGAGGAATAATTCCAATACAAGGCCATATCTGTCTATCTATCTATGTGTGTACTGTATATTATACATTACAGATACCTTAGACACAAGGCTACCCCTCAGTGGCCAACTGTGGAGGCCTCCCTAAAGACTTGGGGTTATTGAATGCCAGGCATCATTTCTTGAATTTCAATTAGAACCCTGGTGTGTAATTAAAAGTGTCTGTCTGTGCAATTAGCATAATTTAATGATAGCTGGAGAGAAATTAAATATATTTTTATGCTCCAATAATCATGAGACAATGACTTTAAAGACATAGCTGTATTTATGAGGCTTTTTGGGAGAACATCACTTTAAAAAAGAAAAGAAAAGAAAAGAAATCTGCAAGAAACAGCACAATTTTAAAATTCAGTCTGTTGTCCAGAAGTTGTCAGTCAAACTTTAAACATCTTTGTTTTTCTCTTGACTTCACTTCTGCTTCAAGTCGGGTCTGCAGTGTGAACAACTCAAAGTGAAACATAAAACAGATGCAATGACCAGAGGGAATTGAGAAGGACCGGAGTAAAAAGGCAGTGTTTTTATTTTTTTGTTGCTTGGAAGAATGGAAGAGTGCAAATACTTAGAGGTCACTGACAAAATAAGGTCAAAATAAGCACACTCTAGTGCACACCAGGACAGGATGCACCTGTTTTATGCACCCTTTATGTCAGTCCACCTAAGGGGAGAAAAACCCAACCAGTTCAGGGCCCTGCTCTCCTGATGTGCCTTAACTGATCCAGGCTAACAGGCTGTTATCAGGCTAAAATCATCCTGCTAATCCTCATGCAGCTAATTTGGTTCTTTGAATGCAGTTTGAGGATTGATTTCCTGGGTGAGGACATCGTATGCTCACACAAAATTCATCATCACCACTGGGAATCCTCCCAACATAAACTGGGAAAATAGATTCAAGGATGAAGTTTTCATTTTATGTGTGTCTGTATTGTTAGTGGTGTCATTTCCATCTACTCTGAGCTCCACAATGTTTCCACACTGTTAAACCTGAGATGTTATCAGTGAATGTGGTCAGACTATGAATTTTTGTCTCTCCATGATGGAGTAACTGAGAATCATAAACCTGCAGCCAGATGTTTTTTTGTTGTTGTTGAGTTCATGTGTTTTTGATCACAGTATCTGGTTATTTTTTAATGTACAAACCTTGTTTTATACTTTATCAGGTTTAATTCAGGTAATTATATTGTGTTAGGATCAAATGAACTGTCAATAAGATGTATTTTTGCAGGTTCAGGTTTAAGGACTTGTTGCTCTGACAGCAGTTCCACATTAATTTTTGAACCAATTTCAACATCGTTATCTGGATAAGTCACTTATGCACGTACAAAGTGCACGTAAGGCTTTTCAGTTGTTGTTTTGGTTCAAGGCAGGAAATGAAACATTCCTCTTTATCTCCTACTTCAACCTAGTCTCTGTAATGATTGTGTTGAGTTTACACAAGTATTGTAAATGATTTCAGTGCCAGTAGAGGAGACAGTTTGTTGTCTATGCAACATGCCAGAATCAACTGGTTTATCTCCCAGCTTAAACTGTTCCTAAACTTAAAGCTTGGTGTATTAACTCAGCACAACGGCAGTTTGATCTGCTTCTGATAACGAAGGCAAACAACAGACAGGTTCTCGCTGCCTGCTGTGTGGAGATCAGGGTAAAATACTGCTTTTTATCATTTCTGTTCATTTTTAAAAAAGTGTCACCATCATGCTATCCAGCACACCACAGACAAAATATACAGGTCTTAAACTAGAGAACGGGCTTTGTTGCAAATCCAGCAAATATGAAAGTATTTCATAATTTATCACATGAAGTAACCAAGTGTGTTATTGTCTTAATTGTGACCATGTTTGTTGAAATAATTCATTAAAACACTGGCAATGAATATTGAACAATGTTACTGAACAACATGCTAATAATTTTTCAAAGTATTCGTAGCTGATTAATTTTTTTTTTTTACTTGACACTACTTCTCTACAGGAGGGAAATTAATCTTTCAAACCACTGGATTCACACTGCTATCATTTAGAGGTATCATTATTTTATATTATTCTAGTGCTGGACCGTGGTAGGATTAGAAACTGAAAAACAACAACTGACTGAACTAACAAAAAATTAATAAAACGAGCTCAGCCATGTGCAGTTTATTTTTACTCCTAAAAGAGAGTGAAATGGGTTTAGCCATATAATTTTCTGACAAATATTGTGTTTCAATTCAATATTAATGACAAAGGTTTTTTTTATGAAAACACCAGGAAGCAGAACTCAAATCCTTAAACGTGAGCTAAAGGAGAGATTTTCCAAACCTATCCACCTCACTTTTGTTTTGACAGACACTACGCTGAAATCAGAGAACCGCTGCCACCATTGTTAGGGTCCTGAAGAGTACTTACGGTGCTGGTTGAGAGGACGGATCGATATTTGGGAGCTGTTTTACACACTGATTTGGTTGCAGGTCTCCACTTCATGTCCTTGTGGTCGAGCACTCCGTTGGTTTCCTCTCCTGCAGCTGCCAGGTGTCCTAATGTCGGATGTACCACAGATTTGTGCAGATGGTGTCTGTGGGAAAATTCTGCATTTAGTTGTCATGATGCAACATCATGGCATAAATACTTCTTAGTACCTGCAATACCACACTTCAGAAACAAGTAGTACTTATGCACAATCAGTGTCACTGAAGCATAAGCAGCATATTCTTCCATTGTTTGGTTCTGGCTTCTTGGAAAAGCACATTCTAATGTCCAACCATAAAGAAATCACACATGAATCATTTCTTGAGTGATTCAAGCTGGGAAGACCAGCTGATTGGATTTCAACTTAATACTTGTGATTTATCCTGTTAAATATCCAAAGGAAACATTAATGAGACAGTAATAAGTAAATAATAAATAGCTCCAGGAAGATTTAAAAAAAAAAAACTGGACCTCAATATAAGTTCCAGCTGAAGTGAATTTTACCCATTCAAAATGTGTCAGAGTTCACTAACTGAGCTGTTCCTGAAGGTACCTTTCTGACTCGAAATCCAATAACTCTGCCATCAAGGATTACCAATCCCAGGTGGAAGCATCTAGTTATTCCACCAGCTAACTGAGATCATCTTGCTATCAACCTAGTTCAGTATAATCCCTAAGACCTGTCAAAAATAACATCTCTCACATTATCACACATCCAAGATTTTGCAGTATGTCACCATAATTAAGTGCATTGATCTGTGGAGTGAATGTGGGGTTATTTCCTGTGAAGCACTGATAAGGGCTGGTCGTGCCTGACCTCTACCTTATCGGTCATCGCCATGGCGTTACCACAAACCTGGCAGACACCTCAGGCTGATAAGATAAACTGAGCAAGTAGGGTGTGAGGAGGTGGGGTGATGTGTCCATACCTGTCATCTGTGGAAGATTGGCAGGAAGAAGTGTCCGTCTCTGACCTCCGATAGCGTCGTCTCCGTCGTGAGCAAGTCCGGGAACTGAGGGAGGTGATGAGGATATCAGAGGAGAAAAACTCACATGGATAAGGAGCTGAGAGCACAGTGAGCATAAATTCCAGCCTATCAAATATAAGGATTTGCTGCTTCTTTCTGTTCTATACCACTGTAAATTGATTTAGAGATAAAGGCCAGACAAAATAAAGATATGTAGATGTCACCTTGGCTCTGGAAACTTTAGGTTTCTTAGAACTTGGGTCTTATTTTCTCAGTTCTATACTTACTAAATTACTAAGCAATTATTCAGTAAAATTAAACATTTTAAAGTTTAAAACCTGCTTGATAATTTTAGGAACATGTAAATGCTTTTTGTATCCTATTTACATTGTCACCAGGAAAAAACACGCAGTTTCTAAATGTCCTTTTTGTTAAGGTCTAGGATTTAAGGTTTGGTGTTTGAGCCTATATCAACATACTGCATGAGCTTTTATGTGCAGACTTTCTTTCTTTCTTTATGCTCATGCATGTTGTGTATGTTGAGGTACTTCTTTTGAATATAACTTGAAAAATTCATTAAAGAGAGCTACTTTAAAAACTTTTTCTGCTTGTGCTACTTGCCCTGTTGGCACTGCTTTCTCAGATCTCAGAAATTTAATTGCATCCTAGATCAGATCAAACCTGGTTTGTGTACAGTGATGTCTGTTTCCCCTGTTTGGAGAAACAACCAATCAGAATTTAGCAGTAGGGATTAGGAATAGGAATGCCAGCTTCCTACATAGGGTAAATCCCAATTCCCTTATTTGAACCTTCCTTGCTCCTTGCTCCTTGCTCCTCACTCGACCTGGAAGTTGTTCAATCCCAAAGCTGTTACTCCTGCTCTGAGGGGCAAGGAGGCTGCTTGGAGGAGCTATGAGTGAGGATACAAGAGACAAACATGCCCCTTTAGCAGAAATGAGTTGATAACTGGGCCCTTCAGAGGAAAGGATGTCTTGTGTCTCTACAAACGTGTTTCCTTGATTCCTATGCCCTAGTTTTTCGTTGCATCTTACGTGGGTGGCACTAACACACAAGTGAGAGAAAACTGGATGCTCTTAAGTGAACCAGGATGTAACCATAGCTAGCTAGCCACCAAAGCACAGAAAAACTGCAACAGAAAATGTCTCCACTGGAACAAGAACTCTGTTACAAACTACTAATTAGCCAACTAATTCATCAAAAATGAAGATAATTTGTGTAAAGGTGTAAATTGTTGGCAATGCAAAATGCTTGGATTCAAATAGCACCACATTTTCATCTTTGTCTTTCTGTTAAAGGATCTGTAAACATATTTTCTACTTCTAGCTTCTTACTATGAAAGACAGAGTTTTGAAATAACCATGTTTGGAGAATAGGAGAGCACATCAGAGGAGGAACAGAGAAGGCATAAAGAGAACAAAAGAGAAGAGAGAAGAGTTGTCATGAGCTGGAGAGCAGCAGTTTCTGTTGAAGTACGCAACGACTGAGCTTGGCTTTGTGCTCACAAACAACGGCTGCTCATCCAAAGTTGAATTATAAAATGTTACAAGATCACAGCATGAAATTGGTTTCTCTTACCCTCTTTCACCCCATTTCCCTCTCTGTGTGGCTCAAGCTTTCAATGTGTTTTCCTCTTTGCAAGCACTTTTCACACTTTGTTCAGAAATAAAAGCTGCGTGTTTTTGAATTGACTCGTCGTGCTCTCATATCAGAGTATTTTGGAAGATCCTCTCCCTTTCTTCCTCAGCGATGGGTATTAAGAAAAGTAGGGATGGACTTACAGCAGCATGGGGGACGAATAGGAAGTAGGAGGTGTGTGTGTGTGGAGGGGGGCGTAAAAAATGTGTAGGATTTAGAGAGTACATGATTCTGATGCAACAGTCACAGACTGACCTTTTCTTGTGCTTGCGCTCATCCTTCCTCTTATGTTTTAAACTTGAAGAGCTGGTGAAATGAAAGAGAACAGAATCATGAGCTAGGAGCATTAAAAGTGACAAAGCCTGTGCACTCTGCTTTCCTGATGATATATAAAGGGCATTAGCTTTTAAGGTGGGAATCCAGAAATCATTGTGAAAGCAGGGGCTAAATGTTATACCACATTTAAGACAGAAATATATCCAGAAAATGTGAGAACTGCCTTTTATGGTTGCTCTTTTAATATAACATTAAAGGGCAAAGACATGCACACTCATATACGTACCTGTGTTTTGACTTCTTGGAAGTATAGCTGAAATAAGGGAAACACTTGATTTGATTCACCCCCAAAAAACATCATGTCATTTTTCCAGTACTGTTGTAGTAAGCAGGGACTACCTATGCCGTTTGCTTTTCTTGGAGCTCTTCTTCTTCTTCTTTTTCTTCTTCCTCGGTGGCGACAGGCTGTGGGAAGAAGACCTAAAGCAGGAGGAAAAATAAACATGAAGTGTTCTGCTGTACACCTGTCGGTTTGTTTATGTCAGGAAACAGTTCACAGGTGTCCAATAATACACCTCACTGCAAAGCCATCCTGTTTTGGAAACCGACCTTTTCCTTTTCCTCTTCCGTTCAGACTTTCTCCTCTTCTTCCTCCCCTTGGGGCGAGGGGAGAGCTCCTCATCAAAGGACGGGCTGCAGGCAGAAAGAGCAGAGGGGACATGTCAGTCTTCACGGCTGTTATTGATGATGAAATATGAATTCTTTGAGGTTACAGCTTCTAAATGCCTATATCTGGTGATTTATATTATTTAACTACTATGAATCTATTGAGCCTCATGGTTAAATGGTTATTTCACCAGAATTACAATAAAGTTAATAAAAAAGTAGTTTGGCCAAAAACATGTGACAATGTGTTTTTGGATCTTTCGTTTTTGCTGTAAACAAGTCAAACAAAACAGAACTGATCTTCATTGTTCTGAGGCAGAACTCTTAAAGACAAATATCTAAAATCTAAGCAAATACTGTAAATCCAGAAGTGGACAAAAACAGTGAGAAAATATGTTTTTATGGAACTGATGTAAATTACTATACAGCTGCAGCAATTTGTCAATTATTCAATTAACTGATTAAAAAAAAAATTAATTGTTGAAGCAAAAACACCAAAACGTGATCGTTGTCAAATGTCTTGATTTGGTGCTTTTCTTGGTTTGACATTATAGCAAGTACTGTATGTAATTTGAACAAAGCCAGACATTTAATTGACCTGGTGCTGTAAAATATTGTCTTGGGTGTGTATCACTATTGTTTTTATGTTTTATAGACAAAACATTTAGTCAAGAAAATTATTGGCAGATTAACCCATAATGAAAATAAGCCTTTGTTGAAGCACTAAATTATTCAAGTCACAGTTTCAAAGGACTGACTGGTGAATAACACTTCAAATTATCACATCAATGAGGCAGGTCAAAACACTCCCACAGATTATATTAATAGCTACATGAATACATTATTTTTCAGGGTGAGGACATATGAACACTTGCTTTCATCACCTCGTTTAATTTATCTGTTTTCACAGAAGTGTTGCTTGCGATTTTTGTCCCTGCCATGCCAAGTGTGAAACTTCCTCTATAAACATCTGCAGTGTCTCTGAAAATCCATGGTAATATTTCTGGATTTGGTTTTAAACTTTTACATGTTTGCAAGTCAGAAATGGGACTCCTGAGCCCAGGACTCCTTCCAAAAGTGATGTACAAATACTTTTTAGAGAACTTGGTCAGAGAATTTTATTCAGAAAGCTACAAAGTATTACCAACAATATATTCCTTTGGAGTTTGCTGTTATGTTTTTTCTATTCTTTGCAGACAAATACCCCTAACAGAATGGGCAGGGTAAAAATATAATCCACATGACTCATCATTGGCATCACTGCACATAAATGCATCCTGAGTCCCTCTCACAGCAATCATAAACAGGATTATCTGAGATCCAAATGTCGCATATGAGATGAACCCATCACAACAGAATCATGAAATCCCATCCAGACTGGTTTAAAGCAGAGAACGACTCGCATGTCACTGAGCTACAGTGAAGTCACTAGCAATGACAACATGGCTGCACTCAAAGAAGGAGATGTGTGGTACACCAAAATGTTTCATTCCATCACAGCCAGAGTTTCCATGCACCTACAGTATCTGTAAGGCTTTCTGGAAAGTGAGAAATGTATTACATGGTCAAACTGTTGCAGCCCAGGCTGAGTCATCCTCACTTTTTTGTCCCTAACATGGGTAAAGTACAAAACACACAGAATCCAATACGTCCCATAATAACATGCATCAACAACAATCTTTTGAGATCCTACCTTCCTGAACAATCATTCTCAAGCCTCCAGTTTGTAATACAAGCTTTCTGTTGGGTATTTGTAGTGTGTAAGCAAACCTAAGCCAACATTAATCAAGTACTATCACAGAGGTAATACTATTAGATTTGACAAAAATGACATTATAGAAAAGAAAACATTGCAGCATGAGTAGCATGCCTCGTGACTAGTAAATTTACACTGATGTGAAAAAGGTTTTTAATGTTAAAACAGGTTTGAAATACACACTCAGTTGCCAGTTTATTGGGTACACCTAGCTAAAAAAAAATGCAGTAATTCTGAAAGATGTAATTTGTGGTGTTACTGTAAAAATGTACGTGCACTCTCTCAACTCTTAAGTGTACATACATGATAGTGCCACTTTAGATGCCTCTCATGGGCACCACTCGCCTGCACACGTTTACCCAGGCACAGACACACACTAATACAATGCTATATTCTTATCCTCTACCCATCCTTCTCTGAAACTATGAATTCATCATTACAGAGAAAGAAACCTGTCAGATTCCGTCTGTTGATCAGCTTGATTGCTGTCAGGAGGTCCACCTGCTATGTTCTCTGAAAATGACTGATGAAGAAAAGGGAGCCGAAGGCCAGTGAAGCACCACAGGCTCACTGAATGAGCCTTTCAAGTAAAGGTTGACTCATATTCATAAGAAGCAAAGTGAGGAGGAAGTGAGCGAAGAGAAAAGAAGAGATGTGCAAGATGATTCTGACTGAAGTTCACTCGGTCAGCCTGACCTTGACTTTGTTCAGCCTATTACAACCCACGGTTACATTTTATTTTTACACCATGCTTCTTAAACTACTCTATAACTGTTTCATCACATTAACTGTGTGTTTATTACTGTAACAATGCCAATGAACATCCTCTGTCTGTAAACAAGTACTTATTTGAAACCAAACTATGATCTTCCTGTAAATGTAACCAAAGGGTTTTTTGTATCTCAACCAAACTGTGACGGTTCCATAACCTTAACTAAGTGTTTATTATGGTAACATGATGATGAAGGCCCAGGATAACTGCTGCCATAAGGGTGCTATTGCAGGTGATTCCTCTATGGGTCAAGCGCCCTAGTTGGTCATTCAAATTGGAGGAGGTAATGAATAAGCTTTACCGGAAAAAGTGGAAAGTTTCTGTGGTGACATGAGGCACTTAGTTATTACGTCGACAGGTCTATTTACTGAGATCCCGACAGAGAAATATGGTTACACGAGTCCCTCGTAAACCAAAACAGTTGCTTTTGACTCCACCCAACAATGTAAAAGACCTTTGAATACAATGGAGAAAAAATAAACTGCTGTGATGAATCCCAATCTTCTACAGAATAACTTTTACCAGTTACCGGTACTTGAATGAGAAACAGACTGCATAAAAACTAACTCATGTACTCACAAACTAACTCATGTACTCAACTCAAATAACACCTGCAAGCTCACAAGAGGAATGAGAGAGGCAGCCTCTTAGAATCTGTGAATATTAACAAGACACAAGGCTGCAGTAAACGTGCTTTGAAATATAGTCTTTTAAAATTGTATGGCAAAAATCATAGAAAAAATTGTTAGTAAAATTAGGAAAATGCTATAAAAATCTGGAATTATAACAAATAACAGACTGAATAAAGTTTAAATAAAAGATGAGCTAGTTTTCTGAACAACATGATCAATAGCCAGATAATATATTCATAGCACAGAATTAGGTTTAGCCTCGCTCTGGGCAGAATACATCCAAATGCCAACAGACAGAAGCTGTATAAGATACATTTTTAAGCAATTTCATACTTAAACTGAAGATATTTCTGTGCCATTTACATTAAATTTCAGGAAATGTACCTTACACAAACAGCGAGTCGTGCACACAGGTGAGCATGATCAGAACTGGGCTAGACAGTGACAAACTGTACTCCTCCTGTGTGCACAGGTCTCTGGAGACTATATGCCCATTTCATTGAATGCAGAAGACGATCTGGCTTTAATAAATGGCCCTGCTTGGCGTAGTTGGCATTTTGGGAGCATTAGGAACTGAAATGCATTAGGGCTGATTAGGCAGACCAAGCCCAAGTACCCTCTCCTGGTAATGAGAACACTTTGTCACTCATTAACACCATTCTGGCCTCATAGAAAGAGAGCACAAGGCAAGCATTTGCATTTTTTATTGCCAGCAGAAACTGTTTCTTTTGATGAGGTGGAGAGAATGAAAGGGGGAATGAGAGAGCGATGAACTGCCAGCGAGACTGGGAATGGTGATTGTGGGAAACAATGTGTGTGAAAAAGGGATTTGGGGACATCTGATGAGAATACACTAAATGCTGAATTCAGCTTATTTTCCTGCCACAATCATGCACAGATTCCACGAATATATACATGGATGGAACAATAAAAAATAAATCCCTCACTTGGTGTCAGTTTACTACAGTGATCAGGTGGATATCCTCTAATTCTAGTGTGTTTTAATGACTTCCTGGGTTCAAAATTTAATGGAAGTAGTTCACATCCATAACTCTTTTGTAGTGAACTAGGTCTGGAATCAGCTACATTTAGAAACTCCCTCACTGTAGCTGACATGCTGTTTCTTAAGGGCAGCCAGGGCCAGTGGCTTGTGGCTTTATGTTAACACTAGGCTCTGTTGAATTTGGTCTCCTGTTGGCCAATTAGCAAGATTAAAACACAAAAAACAGAGGATTTTTGAGGAAAGCTATTTGTAAGTGAGACAAAGAATTTGTAAATCAGTCATTTTGATAAATGGAAATGAATAAACAACATTTTTCTTTAAACACCAGTGAACCCCACAGCCACAGTATCACGGCTGGATGTAGATGCTGTGTCTCCCCAGGTCCCCCTCCTTTGTGATAAAAAAGTGCCTTACCTTACACTTCTTCAGTGTAATTCTATTAGTGAACAGTATATATTGTATTACAAGTAGTTGTAGTATTTGACTATAATATGTTAACCCATTGTAATGTTTATGGACTACTAATACTGTATGTACTGCAAAATACATTTCATGGGTTTAATATTTAAATGTATACACCTAGTTGGTGGCTTGAATTTGGCAAGCTAACAAACTGACAATAGCATTACACCAAAATAATAGCACTTCCTCACTGAGTTCAGTGACCCCATTGCATTGACATAGTAAGTCCAGATGCAGAGGGCTCCAGCAGAAAAACAAAGAATCATTTGGCAACAAAACTGACATGAACTCTACCATTTACTATGCAAATGTGGATGAAAGCATGACATCAGCTGCAGTGAACAATCCCTGTGCTTGCTACTGGACATGCAATAAAACCTTGGCAAGTAAAAAGAAATACACCTGTTAAACAAGCATAAACTTGCAGAAAAGTAATAACTTCAGCTTTGCCTGTGGTTTGTCCTCCACCGCTGGTATGTGTTAACCATAGCGAACATGCAGCATTCTTACAACCCCACTGGTGGAAGCTCATGCTTTTATGTCACCAGGCTAATTTGTTTAATTGTCCCCAGTCTTTGGCCCTGCTGTGAAAATGCACATCACAAGGTGTTCGAGGGATTTTTTTTATCCCTGGGACAGTAGGAATAAAAAGTATCAGGCACTTCCTGGTGGAAACGCAGCTTTTGTAAAACTATACTCATCTCAGTCTAAATTGCAAAGAAGGGCTCAGACAAAATAGGACCATATTCCAGTGGGGGCACAGTGCCTCACCTGAGGTGCAAGATTTCTTTGGTAACCTCAGAAAAAATGAACACAATTTCATAAAACATAATATTAAGGTCAGCAGAGATGCAACATAGGACAGTCCCCGAGTCTAGATTCAACTCTGTGTTGAGAATAACCACCACTATAAATCTGTCTCAGTGCACTATTTCTATAAGATGTCTTTTCATGCATGTACAACACAGAAAAAAATGATTATCAGAAGCTTGTGTGCCTACGCGTTCTCTGTTAAATTCAGAAAAGAGAAGCAGCCGCCAGGTAAAGTTCATCCCAAGAGGAGTGGTTCATGTTTATGATCCTCTCTAACACTTCAGTCGTGTTTTACACATCACTGGCTGCTTTCCTGCTGTGGGGCTACAAAGACTTTGAAGGTGTCAGATTAATTAAGAGGTTTCTTAACAAAAATCTGTGTGGATTGATTTTTTCCCACTGAGAGATGGAGATTTTTGGTTCAAGTTGCAGGTTAAAGAGAGGATCTGAATGACACAATGTGGAATTCCTCACAGCATCTTGTATTTCTCCACTGGGCCTGACCTGATAAGACTGTTTACATTGCCCACACCAGAATATAGAGATTATCTCTGTTTTCCTGTTGCAAGTCAAACCCTGAAGGAGTTTTGGTGCACTGCTAAAAGACTTTTTTCAGCACTACAATCTACAGCAGCACCTCGACAAACAAATAAAAATGGTTGTTATTCATCATCAGAAATGTTCCACTGTGTCCACAGTCCTACAGCTTTGAAGGACACCGATTCCTTGACTTTCATGTTCTTTGAGATCACAAAACCTTGGTGGCTGTCAAGGTTTCTGCTTGGCATTTGTGAAAGCATAAAGATGTACTCACTTCCTGACCCTGCGATGATTGTGGTGTTTGTGTCCTTTTGTTTTGGAACAGCCATTTCTGTCGGCGGTGTCCACCCTGCTGTCAATCGCGGTCCTCTCATCTATCTTGAACTGGCAGACTGTTGTTTCCGAGCTGTGAGGAAAGCACAACAAAGAAGAAACGGATTTAGTTTTTGGTCTTGATAGGTTCTTGAAGTGATTTTTCAAGTTGTCTGCACAGTTAATGCTTCCATCATATGACAGTGAAGGCGAGATTTAACATGCTTGGTTAGCCTCACTCCCTCTGGTCTTCTTTATGGTTATGTGTTTTATTCCCCTCTATTTCTCCCCGCCAGCCATTTGCCATTCAAATCAAGGTGTCAGTTGAACTGTAGTTATTTACATGCTTCAGTTGCTCTGACATTTGGGGAAATGGTGTTTTCTTTCTTGTGCTGGACAGATGCAAAACATGGTCATATGAGCTCCTTAAATTTCTATTTCTAATAAATCAGAGGTTCATCATTTTTAATTGTCAACATACACCCTGTTGGCAGATTATTAGGTACACTATAGCTAACCCTAATGCAGTCTAATACAACAGCCCAACAATAAATCCTCTTTCATGAAGGAGACTATGTTGAACTTTTTTTGAAACTGTGTCAGAGAGTTGTTGATTCAACTCTATGATCATTTTGGAGAATTTAATTTGCTACTGTTGACCTATATTGTTTGCCCTCCCCATGTATACTGGATCAATGAGGCTAAGCTTAATAACAGATATACCTCTCAGGATTTATTGCAGGTTTGTTGTATTATACTGCATTAGTTTTAGCTTGGTGTACCTAATAAACTTAATAAACTGCCAACTGAGTGTATTAACACCGGTGTAACAAAGTTTGTATAGTGTGTGATTCCACTTGGCATTACTGTCATCACTTGCTATAGCTGTACGGACTATATGTTGGCTTAGGGACGCTCTCTCTTAGTGTATAAATGCTAATGGTGACTAGGAAGTGTTGCCAGATTATGAGGGACATGCCCAATGTAGGCTGTGTACAAATGTGTATTAATTTCTGTATGTCTCCAGTTGGAACATATGTGCACTGTGATTTATTTAATTGTTGTTGAGAAGTGTTATGGAGTGGGTGTGATGCACTTTCAAACATTAAAGGAAGTTATGAGAAATGACATTCATGCTAAGCTAGCTAGCTAATGTGCTAACATCACTTGTGGTTCTTTCATAGTACACTGTATTTGAGCTACCTATGACTACCCAACTGTACAAATGACCACTTCCAACACAGCAAAGAGTAACAAGGGGGTTGCTAACTAACCAGTTCCTGTTGCAGCTGAGTTCAGTTACATAAGTATAAGAGTAAACTCAAGACAAACTGCAAGTCACAGCCTCATCTTGAAACATATTTCCTGCAGTTTTAAATTTGTGGCAAGTCTTTTCAGGCTTCCAAATAATCTTACTGTAAGTCAGCTGTTTGCTAATTTGACCACTTCCACCTGAACCTCTCAAAAAACTTCATTCATAGACAAATGCAAAATGCAGCTGCTGAACAAATGACTAAATAAAGTGAATGATTAGATATGAGCACACAGTTCTAGCCCTGCTTATTATCCTCTGTTTTAGTCATGGGAGATTTGAGCATACAGTTTCTGCTCTTCTTCCAGTGGCTCACGTCTGATTGTAATGAGAAGATAATCAGAGCCAGAGATTAGGCCGTCAACGCCTCCACCTCCTCCTTTTCCTCCCCCAGGAAGAGCAGGCAGGAGCCGTCGCTTTCTATCTTCCTCACTTTTGTTTTCCTCTGCTTCTCTGCATAAGTGGGGGAGCCCCAGGGCGGGGGGACTAATAATGCAAAATGACAGACTGGGCGCTCCGACATGACCGAGTGTTTGAAAGGTGATAGGGGAGATAAAGCCAGGCAATGGAAGGATGATTAGTGTGATCAAGGAGGCTGATGAGAGAGGAACATCATAGTGATGTGGCTAATGCTCTCCTGGTGTTGATGGAGAAGCCAGCGTCGGTCTGCTTATATTGTTTTCTGAATTGTTCTATGTTATTGATCAAACTCATCCTTGAACTTAATCACTGGAGTTAATTTTGAAACTGATGGGTCACGTTTTGTTTTACCTCAATTCTGTTGGTGTTAGAGATAAAACAATTATCCAGTTAGTTAATCAATGATTATTGATCAATAACAAGTTTGATAATTTCTTAACTGATTTGCTAAATCCTTATATTAAGCTTTCTTAAGATTTCTGTCCACTGATGGTGTGACATGTTTGCAAGGTCTCAGGTTGTTGACCATTTGAGCAATGTACCTGTTTGATGTTTGGTTAGTTTACATTTGCACAAGCACATAACAAAAAACAAAACAAAGAAACAAACAAACAAAAAAAAAACATATGGTGCATTAATTTTCATACATTAAATCTAAATGCTAATACAGTACAGGAGGAGGCAGGGGAGGTACAGGCTGCAGTGTTGCAGCAATAAGGACCAGTACAATACTTTTGTCTTTTGAGATGGTCATAGATTTTTGATGTGACTAAACATCAGAGCCCAATCAGTAGACCGCACTTCACCACGTTTAATGATTTAATGAATGTACAACAGCATCATCCTTCTTTTGCTTCATCTTGTTTAAAGGATAAATCTGGTCATTTTCTATATTAATAGTATTTTCATCAATCTCCATACAAAGACTAAAACCAACAATGAATTGCCTCTACTCACAGTTAATGACTGTCAGTCCTGGCTCAGCTTATTCGTCTGTGTGATCCACCTCTGTTGTTGTTTAAGAAGGATTAAAGACATATCAGGGAACCACACCACTGCACTGGGTGATATATTTCTTCATTAGCAAACTCCAGACCCGAGCATGAGGAGCTAGCGGAGGGTAAACAAAGCTGAGAGCTTGCACAAAAGCTTGCGCATATGCAGCTGACTGGTACCGGTACAGGAAATTATGGCTGCTTGGAGACTTTGGGGCAACATAATGGACTTGGGGTTTGTTATAAAAAACATGCCACCTAGTACAGCAGTGTTTCACTAATGTGTTATTAAGTGTTCTTGAAAAACAATGGAGATCTATCACACAGACAAACAAGCCTATCCAGGAATGAGACTGACAATGATTAATCATGAATTCATTGTCAGTTTTGGTCTCTGTATGGAGATTGCTGGAAATACTAATAATAAAGAAAACGATAGGCCTTATCCTTTATATACATGCGCCTGTATTCTTTTAGGTTCTCAACATCCCAAGGCTGTTGGGTTGATGTTGTATACTCTGGTATTAGCGATACAGTAGCTTGTGACCACATGGTGATTCAGTGGCATTCACTTTATAGGTGGCTGTATGTAGACTGTATATATATCAAAATCTTCACATTTGTGAGGCTGGAAAAAAAGAAAGTTTGGCTTTTTTGGTTGATAAATGACTTAAATGGTTAATTCACAGCTATAAAGCAGATGGAGGATCAAATAGAATTATAGTCCAATTATGTTGGGTCTCCATCTCTCCTCTCACCCTGGGTGAGTGGCGGGTGTGGCTTCAGCTCTGCTGTTTCTCATTGCCTAATCATCCCGAAGCACACTTATACCCTGGCTTCGCCATGCCACGTTGCCACCTGTTGTCTATTCTGCTCTGGCTGCATTTAACTACCAGTGAGCTTTTCTCACTACTAGTTGTAACCTGTGATTCTCCAACACCAAGTGAGTTGTCTCCTGTGACTCTGCCACTCGCCTGTGTTTCCTCACTCCAACATCTACCCTCGTCTCCCTCTTTTCAACGTGGCTTTGGCATGGCACCTGCCATTAACACCCGACCTTCAGTACCTCCTTCTACACCCAGTCCTGCATCAATTCTGGTCCTCGCCTTGCAACCAGGTTCCAGCGTCACCAGACTGTTACCTATACGTTACTCCAAGTTCTCATTTCCCCTGTGGGAGTTCCAATAAATCATTTAAACTGCTCAGAGTGCGCCTCTTCCATTGTGAGTCTCAATTCGACTTACCGGTCGTAACAAGTTAGGCCTTTTCCAGTTTGCCATTAAAACTCCCTGCTCTAAAGACAATTTATCTACACAACATTTGTGCTGTTGAACACTCCAGTAATGAAGGTGGAGTGGAAAGTGGCTCAAAGCTTCTTTTTATAGGACATCTCTCTGCTTCTTTGTTATTTGCTGTCACTCTAAGTGCTGCGGTTGATGACTTTTAAATGAAATTGATTCCACTATCACAGATGCACATTCCCTTGCTCTGGCCCTGCGATTTATGGAAGAAACTTTCCTTGCTAGAAGCAACTGGATTTGTCGCAAGCTGTTTGTATCTGCCAAACAACACCCCTCGCTCCTTCTCTCTCTCTCTCTCTCTCTCTCTGTCACACACACACAAACTTAGACTCCTACTCTCAAGCATGGACAATCCTTTTTTAGATGTAATTCATAATCAGGCAGTGACTGAAGGTATTTGAATGGACAATTCAAAGCACCAGGCTGACAAACAGCTTTAAATGAATATAACTGCTGAGCAGATTAAGTAAGAGTACTAAACAATGCAGAATTACTTGGACACTAATCCTGCAAAGTTCTGACTGAATTTATTTACAGTAAAACAGGTAAAATGGAGCCATAGACTAGGATCCACTTCTTTACAATCCCTAATAAAATACAATGGGAATGCCGCTAACTGAAACCAGTGTGTGTACAGGAACACTCCAGGTAAATCTGTCTTTTTGACTTCTTGACCTCATCATACAGCTCCCTTGGTGATGAGTACTGGTGTCAGTGGAGGCTGAGAGGAGTGACCATTCTGTGGCAAGCTCTTGTTTCTGCCTGTGTCACAGAGGGAACATCTCCCTCCTCTCAATATGGGGTTCTTCTGCCCCATCATATGCTGCTGCTCCTCACTGTCATATGAATGGGTAACAAATACTGACAGATGGTGCATAAAAACATGTTGCAAACGAGAAGACAATGCTTTTTAAATTTGCATTTCCAAATTTGGATGGAGAGATGCTATGCAGGATGAGTGTGAGTGTGGCCTGGTACTACTCATGTTGGGACATAAATCTGTTTACACAATCACATTGTGGGGACAAGAAGCAAGTCCCCAAAATGTACGTCATTATATTTTAGA